AAACAGTCTTGGGTCTATATAAAGATGTTGCATTTTGTAAGTCTGCCTATCCATGCTTTGAATTCGATGGAGAAGATGGAGAGGATTTAGACGGACTCACACGTGAGATATTCTCAGAGTTTTGGGAGAAGGCTTTCATTGCATACTTTGAAGGAGCAGAAGGATTCTTCACCCCAAGAACAAGTCCCGACGTCACAGAAGAAATAATGATGCTGCTTGGAAGGATTGCTTCACATGGATATGTTTTTTGCAAAATTTTTCCAGTCCCCCTGTGCAAATCGTTTGTTATAGCTTCGATTTGTGGGGCTGATGATGTCACAGACGAAGAATTGTTGTCATCTTTCCTCGCATATCATACTGGTTATGAACGTGCTTCTGAAAGGTCTAAATGATGCTAGCAATGGCGATACCTTCTCAGCAGATTTGTTGGAGGCACTTGTTGATGTACTCGAGCCATATAATTTACRAAAGATGCCTACGTCGACCACATTAAAACCACAGCTGATAGCAATCGCCAAATGTGAGTTTATCAACAAGGTATCATGGGCTGTACATGGGTTCAATAAGGGTCTGCTTGACTGTCATGAGGTATGGAAGAATACCACCAAGGATGAAATAGAGAATATATATGCTGATCTTGTACCAACCTCATCGTCGTTCTTGGCCCTCTTGAATGTGGAAGACGAATCTCAGATGACCACTGGTAGAAAGGAAGTGCTTAACTACTTGAAGAGGTTCATTCGAATTGCAGATGATGTCATCCTAAGAAAGCTCCTGAGGTACATTACTGGTTCGGAAGTAATGACAGTTGACAAGATCAAAGTGATTTTCCATGCTAACATTGGAAGCGTTCCTGAAATCATTTCCCACDCGTGTTCAGCTGTACTTGATTTGCCGTCTTCTGGTTACCTTAGTTTTCATGACTTCAAAGACCAAGTCACCAGCATCCTMAATAATCCATTGTCCTGGAGATTTTCCATTGTCTAGTTTAAAGCAAGGAGAGGACTATACAGAGACTGTGTTTACCAAGTCGCTTTAGTGGTTTTACTCATTTACACAAGTTAAGCAATTTATCGTTAATACATTGTAAGAGTTGTAAATCCCATTATGGTCATTAAGCAATTATGCGTTTTCTTTTTTGAATATCAAAAGGGCATTTAAAGTGTATATGAATTAAATTCTTTTATTTAAAAATTGAATTAATGTAAAGAGAATATATTGCAAGAACGCAATAGGCCAATTTWATTGTATAAGAAATGAGCACAGAGCTGTGATCATGCATGCAGGTRGAAAGACAAGCTTTTCACCCCTATTTTACATAAAACTTGATGCCTGCATCCAGTGACGCCAAGCCCAGCTATTCTTATTATTGATTCAATGTTTTGAATAAAACAACATTCAATTCATATAAACTTCAACTGAGATATAAAAGTTATATTACAGTTATCTTTGGTGTGATAGTGATATTATGTTTATATTAGATATGACAGGTTTTTAATATGTTAGTAAAATGCTCTTTCTACTATTTAGTTACTAACATTCGAAAGAAACAAAATAGAGCACGTTAATTCGATTGTTTTAGTACGAAATTCTAGAAGTGCAAGGTACTCTAACATATGTTGTGTTACCTAATATTCCTACTGAAATATTCCTATGTTAAACTTATGTTGTAAACTGTTAATGTTTCAATAAAAATGTTAAATATCAAGTTTTGCTTTTTGCTGTCTGACATTATGCACGCTGCAATCATAGTATAATCATCAATAGTATCATTATACACGATGCAATCATAGTAATAATCA